AACTTACCTAGACATATATTTCTTGATCTGCTATGTATAATTTGTCAGTAGGTTGTAGGAGTAATATGGTTCTCACTGTTTTTCAAAGCTAGCTAGGCATTGTTTATCTCTCACATTGTCTCACCCCTCCATCATGGTTTTCCCTCTTAAAGTGCCCCCATTGCCCCGCTTTCTCCCGTAATAACACTCTTCTCCTGTGGTCCTACTTCTCTTGAGCTCCTTCTTTCCCTTTATGCCCTAGGTTGCTCGTATACCCTTCCCTCTCCCCTCCCTTAAACTAGGAAATAAGCCTTAATAGGGAGATATGAATAATATATCTTTTAAAATAATAAAATCAAGCTTCATAAAATATCACTATGCACTTCATAATTTAAATTCTAAATCATTAGTAAACCTGATGATGAGAAATAGATGTTCAGTTCCCCAATGCTTCCAGGTTCAATGTCTTCCATCTCTGAAGTATAATCTACAACAATGCTTTCAGCATCATCTGGTGTATTACACAGTACAGCATGGATCCTGCCATCTAGTCGAATGACAATGTAATACTTCAGAATAACCAATGCACTGAGACAATCCAAGGAAATTTTGTAATTATTAGAAAGTTTCACGAATGTCAGAGCCCTTTTACATGTGCTTATATGACCACATCAAATAATCAGGTAGTATTTTGTTCTCTAAGTTACCAATTTCATTAATAAAATATATTTGTGGTTAGTATTAATATTTAATCATGGTATGGAATGCAAAATTATTCATTTAATAAAACATTTTCATTTTTTAAAAGTTGTATTAAACAAGCACACTTAGCAAAGCAAGCTGAATGAGCAACGTTTTAGAATCATTTCTTACTGTCATGGTGGCTAGCTATCCAAGATTGACTTTGTGGACACCACCATGGCCAGGATCTGTCTGTTTTACTGATAAATGCCTTATAGCTATAGCCTCACATTGTAGAGAGAGAAAGAAAGCTGTCTGTGGATACTCCATATAAAGAGCACAGGACTGATGCTGAAGGTCTAGCTAGTCTCACAACCTCATCAGAAACTAATTATCTCCCAAATGTCCCATTTCCAAAGAGCAGCCAATTGATGATTGGGAATTGCATATCCATGCATTTGCATATACATGGAATTATATATAATATAAACCATATATAGGTTTATAATTCTGAAATCAGGATAGTAAATCTCACCATTACTAATATACAGTCATGAAGCAGTTGTAAAATGCAGCAATTTAAATTTCATTCGATGTTCAATAAAATAATTATTACAATAAGCTTACAATCATGAACTAGGAGCAAACTCATAGTCATGAACTAGGAGCAAGCTCACAGTCATGAACTAGGAGCACATCTATGTGATAACAGCAGTAAGTACAATGCGAAAGCAGAAAACAGAGATGATAGTAGTGCCACAGTGCTAAGGAAGCATGATGTGCAGGTGTTGAACCACCTCTGAACATGATGACATCCTGTTGAGGTGTGTCTTGAAAGTTGCATGAGGATTTTCCATCACAACCATACAGACACATGTTCCCCATTCATGATCAGGCAGAAGTATAAACAGGGGATGATGGAATATATATCGGGTTCCAGAGCATTTTAGTAATTTAGCTCCTCCTGAGACAAATTGTAAAATGAAGGATGATATTGATTGAAGATCAACAACAATACAATTTTCTGATTATTGAGAACTTCATTATGATTTGATCTTTGGATTTTAGTGTTTTATAATCTCAAAGAATTGACTAAGAGCTTTATGCCACAGCAGGGGCCAAATTGCTGAGAAATTAAATAAGTGAGGGAACATCTACTGCAGATATAATGTTCTTTCACAAAATGTAGTCTTTGTAATAATATAGCACAAAACTGCACTCCATAATATACCCCCTGTATAATCTCCTATAACATGCACTCAATTGACATGTGAGCTATACATAAATAAAATTTCTTGGATACTATGATTCAAAGGTTCATTCTCTTCTTCATGTCCATGATGACCATCTGTCTTCTGTTTTACCGATGTAGAATACTCTGGGATCCACTTTGGTATGGAGAATAATTATCTGCTATTGGAGAAACTTGTCTGAGTATGTTAATTTGGGTGCCCACAGGAACCAAGACGATATAAGCTCTGTTGCTGTGCTTCTGCCTGACTTTGCTTGTGCCTTCACAGACTCAATCCAACGAAATCCACACTTTTCTTCTCCCAAACTGTTTACCTCAATTCAGGTAGCTCCTCAGCAACCCCGAGAGAAAAAACATAAAACAGTTGGTGTAGTAACACTTCCGTTTTAAGGAAGCTCACTAAGTTCTGTCCTTTCTCATGGCTTTGGCTTGATGCTTGTTTCCTCATTCTTACAAGTACCCTTCCAGCTCTCTTAGACTATAAAGGTGCTGTTGCTGTTTGTCTTTTTCAGCTAATATGAGGCCAAGGTCATGATGAGAAGCAGGAATTTGCTCATTTAGATTTCTTTTAAGTTTCTTGTTCATGGTTTCAGAGGTTGTTTTTTGTCATAGGGAAGGAAGAAGGTGGAGCCCAGCAGCTCACACCAAGACAGGCAGGAAGTGAAGTCTAGAACTTTTCTAACAATTTCAAAATCTCTGCATTGTCTCAGCTCCTTTGTTACTCTGAATTAAAAATAGGATTTAATAATCTTGTAACCTACTGTTTACACATAGCAACAAGGTTATTATTGTAAAGGATTCAGTATTGAGTGCTGAAAAAGATTATCTTGCTTTCTAATAGATACTCAGGAAATTTATAAAATAAAAAACAGTCATAACAAATGTGACCAAAAGATACTGCTTTCAGGATAAATACTGTCATCTGAATGTGAATGTCAGTATGCTGAGGAAAAGCTCAAGGATCTCTCATGCTTTAAAGATTTGTGAGA